CGCCGACGCTGCCTCGAGCGCCTCTCATATCGAGGCTTATTCCAAGCTATGTGCCGCCACCGCGCTCTTGCCTGGCAACGGAGGTCAACAGAGTGATGCTCCGCGTGCGTACACGCAGGCGTTGCTGCGTGGTGACGGTCGCATCGACCCAGTGGATACGTGGATCACCCAGATGGAGACAACCATCATCTTGGGCCAAGTACAAGAACCCCGCGCATCGTCTCCGACTTGCTCTGTATGGTGTCTTCTGGGAACGACATTGCCGTGCCAGTCTCGAATCAGTGGGCTTTACTCCCATTCCCGGCTGGGAATGCGTGCGGAAACACGACAAGCTCGACCTCATCATATCGGTTTATGTCGACAGCTTTAAGATGGCAGGACCCACTGACAACTTCAAAAAGGGATGGGATCTGATACGGCAGTGGCATCGAACTGGATCCTCCTACGAAATACGACCACTATTTGGGATGCGGCCAAGACGCTTGGACAGTACCACAGGACGTTTTCGACAAGCGTATGAATACGATGCGACCAATGCTTCCTGAACGCGACAGGAAGCAGCACACGTCAGCTTCCAACGTACGTGGGATTCAGCACGACATGCGTGGTTTCACTGATCAAGGCGTCGAGCGGCATCTCGAATGCGTCTCCAAGCTACCTGGGATGCCTGGACCTCGACGGACGCGATCCTCATCGCCAAAGCCGAGAACAACCAACCCTCGGTCGAGGGCGCCGGTTGACAAACCCACATCCCGACCGTCCGCGTCGGTTGCAAAACCCGCGCCCGACACCGCAGGCTTCACCTACGACGCGCCCCCACATGCTGACACTCCTGGCATAGAGGACACATCGTTCACCGACAGAGATTATGAGGATACCGGCGCACTGGGACCAGACGCCGCGAGTGTACTCATGAAGATATTGTATCTGGCCCGCTGCTGCAGATTTGATATCACGCGTCCGGTGTGCATGCCTGCCAGTGAAATTTCAAAGTGGAATTATGCCTGCGGTAAAAAGCTACATCGACTGGTTTGTTATCTCAAATCTACGAGGCTTCACTGTCCACGCGGATGGCTATGTGATGAGTCGAACAAAATTTCGGCCATGCTGTTCACAGATGCCTCGTTTGCAGACTGCGTTAACACGTCAAAGTCTACCGCTGGCGTCTTCGTCGCTCTCGTGGGCCCAACGCGTTCTCCCCCCTGAATTCCGCGTGCAAGAAGCAGACCGTTGTCTCCCACTCTTCTACCGAGTCGGAGATCGCGGCGCTAGATGCTGCGCTACGAACTGAAGGCCTGCCTCTGTTATCGTTCTGGGAAGCGGCGGCGCGCACCACGCAAGGCGACGCTGCACTGGCGGCCAAGAAAAAGCGTCACAAACCACCAAAACGGCGGGCTTCGCCCACGCGCGCTTCTCCCCCCGTGCGCGGCCCTCAATGCAGACGTCACCCGCGTCACCACCATCTACTACCCATAATATTGTGCATGATGATATGGTATTACATGCTCCTCATCCTCCTGCTCACTCTGCTCCACCACCCGTCGTCGACCTCATTGCGGCAGAGGACAACGAGGCAGTGATCACGATAGTGCACAAGGGACGTACACCAGCCCTTCGTCACCTTCATCGTACACATCGTATTAACTTGGGTTGGATTGCGGAAACATGCCAACAGGAACATATCCAATTAAAACACGTAGGAACAAAAGAACAGGTTGCAGATATGATGACAAAACACTTGAGCCTAAGAAGGCTCACCTGTGGCAAGACCTCCTCGAGTTGTCTTTCATTTTTCCTGTCGCCGCGAAGACCGTTGAGAAGCCGGAGATCGCCATGGCCGCCCCTTTCGTGAAGGGTTCCCTGGCCATTCGTATCCCCACTGCTGCAGTCATTCGCACGCGTGCGTTTGTCGTGCGTTGCGAACGTGGATCATGTTTGTTCCGCGGCAAGTTACAGCCTTCAACGCGCCCGCGCTCGATTCCTCCTCCCACTCGCGCGGGGGGGCCAGCCTGCGCCATACGGCCCACGATGTCGACGCCTCCGATCAAGCTGCGCGGGATGCAGGTTGGAGGCGGCGCTCCAGTGTTCGCCGATGGCAACATCCGCAACGGACCAGCCATCGAGTCACAGACTGCTCGCAACCGTCCGTTCAGCAGCGGACTGAGCTACATGCGCGTGACCGAGAGTCGCCCTGACGAGAGCGGGTCCTTTTGGCTCCACTCGAGCAAGCAGGGGTCACTCACCTCCGCATCCCAAGCGACGTTCGAGACAGGCGACGTAATCGCTGGTGATGTGGAGCCGAACCTCGCCCCTACCGCGGCCATTCCATGGATGGCATTATTCGTTTGGGTTTCTATTATGGGTCTTTACTTGAAGGACCCTTGGATTGATCATACGGTCCGCCAGTATCCTGACCTTCTCTGGACAAATCCCCCAGGGATTGGTGTCAACGCCGAGGCGCCCATGTGTCCACCGAAGGAGATCTGTATTCGAGTGGCGAGCGGAGTGTGGAAAGTGTTACGGATGCCGCGGGGCGCCGTGGGCTCTGCCTTCTTGAGTGGCTCGTCAGCTGCGAGCCGCGACGAGACCATGCAGATGCTGTGTTCACCCACCGGTCCTCACCCGCTGTTTGTTTACGACCATGGACTCACGGCGTAAGAACTTCTCCACGCAGTCGGACATCACGTTGCCCACGGATCCGCCTGCCGCACCTCGCGCATCTGACATGGCGGGGCATATCGGCAAACTCGCCGAGGCGCTTGAGCGCAGGTGCTGTCGCGTCTTCCACATGCTGTGAGCATACAATGAATACGGAATCAAAGCATCCTCGTGGGTCACAGCCCGCAGAGGATTCGGCGGCGAAAGATGTAACCCATTGCTGGTGGCAACGCTGGCGGAGAATCACGCCGCCTTGGATTCCGAACATCCGTCACCCTGCCGACATTCCTGCCAACGGGAATGCAGGATGTTTCCACGAGGACCCTTTCGCTCCAGACACTACGGCACCACGCTGGTCGGCATTCGCAGATGGTCGGCACTGCCTGAGCATGATGAGCGACCACGGATGGGCCCCATTGATGGACGAAGATTTCGGCCTCACCGTCATCCGCGCTTTGGGCCCCGACGGCCACGCCTTCAAGTGGGTCGATCTCTATGTCGAAGTCCGAGAGCGGCAAGAAGAAACCATCAATGACACCATCTGCTGGCATCGACGAGTTGAGTTCCATCGACTCACGTCGTCGGATCGCTAGCGCCTCCAATCCAGCATTGGTTCCATTGGTATGTCCATGGACGCGCTACTTCCAGTGCCGGGCGGGTGCGACGCTGGAGGATTTCGCCACGTGGATGAGAGATGACATTCTGTTCTGGGCTTGATCTCGCAACAACTACAAGCGCTATTGGCTGGAGCACGACGCGCCTCTCGGGCGCGACTTGCCGCTGCTGCCAGAGGCCGGCGGTGACACCCGCACTCTTGAGCCAGCTGCCGCACGCGAAACCTTCCGCGCCACTGTGCGTCGTCGTCTCGACGACATCATGGCCTCCAACGGCCCAGCCAATGCGGAGCAGAAGCAGATCATCGATCATGTCAGCCGTGCTCGTGCACTATACATGACTGGTACGAACGACGAGTACCGCGAGCTGAATGAGGTGATCCGGGCCTATTGGGCGGATCGTTTCCCGGCCTACGTCAAACAGCGTCATTATCAGCGAGGCCTCAGCGCTTTCCTCTGGTGGCCTGGCAATGACGTTACCACGGACGGGAAAAGGATGAAACTTGAGCCAGATCGCGCTCGTGCGCCAGTACCAGCTGAGTACGAGAATCGTTGGCTCTCTTCACCAAGCAACGTTGTTCTAACACTTCCTGGGTATGTCAAAGTGGGCATATCTCGTTGCATCGACGTTCTGAACTGTTTCCGTTCTCCCACAGTCATGAGTCCTGGCTAGGCCCACCAATGGGGATTACCGGATAAGGTCGACGAGCACATGAACGAGATGATCAAGATGTTCACTGGCCGTGGCATTGCTGTACTACCTGCCGACCAATGGATCCGACAGCAGGATCGACCTCATACCAACTCGTGGCATCCACAGAAGACTGACCATAACCTGGTACAGTTGATGCAGCATCTCATGCATGCCGCTACCCTCAGGAACCTGAGTGCGGTTCCGCTCTCGCTGCCGACACAGCCGTTCCCGTTCCGCCATCCGTTGATACAGCCTGTCAACGATTACCAGGGCCACACCGAGGCGCAGGAGATGCGGGGAGCTCTCCGCATTCGCCAGGAGCAACCCACGCAATTCCAACGTTCGAAGGGACTTGAGGCTCTGCGCTTGCAACCCCTGGGAGAACGCGACTTGGCTGCGTGTATGACAGCGACGTTTCAGGCGTTTCACTGTTCGCCTGACCTTCCGCCTGCAGTTGGATCATCTTCTGCCGCCCCGACACGCGGGGACCAGGGCCCGATCCCTGCTTCCGCCCCGACGGAGGCGACATCCCATGAAGATCCCCCACCTGCATGCACTCAGGCCACTCCTGCTGCATATGGCGCAGATTGGGATGGCAAGGCACGCAGTACTCCTACGGAGGAGAAATGCTACATATCCTGGGATATTATCTTTCGTCGCCTCAGCGGCATGATTCCATGATCGACACCTTCCCCGAGACGTGGGCTTCCTATTCAGCTCCCGAGCGTGAATTCCTCAGGGCCGTGTACAACAGGACCTACATGGTACGTCATGCTGCTACCTGGGTGGTATTGAGGCAGTTCGTCAACAAGATCATGGATATTTTCCCGATTCGTGCCAGCGAGGGATCAGGTATCTTCGAGCGGGAGCACGATGTCAACACGGACTACATTTTCGACGCCACCTGATCCCCCATCCGTCGCGCCTGCGACAACGCGCGTGCCTGTCCCGCCAGCCCCTCCGACGCATCTTCCACCACAAGAGGATGACGCTATGACGGGTACGACTCCCAAGCAGCCGCCCCCGGTACCAGCATGGGAGGTACCACTGCCACCCACGCCAGCGGCATCGGTGGCATCGGCAGGCGCGCCTACTCCACCACCCGCACCGCCGTCCTCTTCAGCAGTGGACCCTGCGGCGCCGGAGGCAACTCCCGCACCTGCGGATCTACCTGTGGAGACTATGAAGTACAAGATCATGGGTGCACACGACTGTTGCGCGCGATCGCAGCGCGAAGCCACGATGACACTAGAGGACAGACTACGCTTGGCATTACTCCCAGAGAATACGCTGTTCGTGCCAAGGTGTCCGACCCATTTCCCTGGGTCCCTCCGATCCTGCGTGGACGTGGTCAGTATGAGTCGTGCAAAACGATCGAGGATTACAAACAGAGTTTGTACTACGACGACTACGTGATCAAGCACGCTCCCGCCCTACAGAACAGTGGTTGCTTCCCAGATTTCACATGGATTACTCTATGTAATGTGAATACTAAACAGCTGGGCCTACCTCTCCTGGTTGCTTCGCAGTATCCTGGACATACTATGGGATTTACCACAGAGGTTCAGTAAGGCTCTATCAACCGCACTCCGACACGACAACGGCGGCCGCAACGGCCTGGATCAATTCCTCGACCGCCGCGTCAATATCTGGGAGCTCGAACACGTCGATATTTGGGCCGTGGCCAATCACCACAAGTCCTTCAGTCACATCGTGTCCGAAGTATTCACAAGAGATGATCACGGCCCCAATCGGAATGCAGCCCACGCGCATATGCATCAGGCCGACCGCGCTGGCCAGCCATGGCAAGATGGACAGGAGTACTGCGTGATCGCCGTCCTGCGCGCCCTGCAGCTGCACATCGACGACGAGAAGGCCCGCTTCCAGGTCTTCGTCCACCGTCCCAACCCAGGCTTGTTGGGGGCAGACTTTGCATGAGATCCTGTACTGGCCATTCGTGCCTTTGGCGGTCATACTGCCGTACACCGCAACAGCCAATATGGGCTGGAAGCGATTGTCATGGACGGATGTGACGTACTTACACCATGCTACTACGAAGGCTGCCTGGATGAGTATTCGGAGGATTGGTATAGTTCCAGGCAGTGGTGCTGACCGCCACACACGGCGTGAGGCATTCTACAGTTCCAGTTCTTTCGTGCGCTATGACACACAGAAGCCTCATACTACGATCCCCGGATACAAGGACCAGTCGCAACTGGATGACCTCATGTGCGACAGAGGGCCGGTGGCGAAACCTGCGCCGACTCTGACAAGCGAGGCCATTCTGGACATGGTTCACTGGTGGACGGTTGTGGACAACGGCAAGAAAGAGTATTTCATACCCCTGGTGGGGACACTTCCTCTTGGCACGTGGGATCGTTGCAGCCGCTTCCAGAATATCCGCATCAACGACTTCATGTACACACGTCTGCATGGTTCGGCCCTTTGCCGCGCCGTTGGCCGCCCGTGGCCGGCAAAGAATGATGTCGCACTCACGCTGGGCAGGGCAAGATCTACGGACCGATCTTCGACATTGCTCACAATGTTCCATACGTCAGCGCACAGATCTCTTCTCGAGGCCGCGGCCCGTTCTGGGCCAACATCTGGCATGCCAAGAACAAGATTAACGAGCACACCGGATTTGCTTCCGCAATTCCACTGCATGCAGAAATGTCCGAGATGCACACTGACCACCTGGGCTCGTGCGATGTCGAGTCCCACCTTGGACGCGTCGATGACGAGACTGTTATCGACAAGCCGGTGGACACACCCGCACTCCAACATAACGATAATCAGGAAATCAAGGTCGACGAGACAAAGCTGATCACAACGATCGAGGTCGTCGATGACCTGAAACTCATTTTTGCCAAGTGTTCTACAGCGGAGCTGAACGGCCTTCGCGGGACGGGCAAACATGCACAAGCTGTTGGGTTGCTGCAGACTCCACTGGAGGTGGATCAGGTAAATACGGCAACATACAGAGACACATACTCTATGAGAGTCAGCTGGCGATGCGGTTCGGCTTTGGACCCCAAGGCGAATTTGTACAATTAATATGATATTCAACCCACTCTCTCCCCGGGCCAAAGAATTGCCAAACATTTGTGGGCACAATCGTTTCCTGTCTACCATGATGACGGAGATGAGTTGGGACGATAACGACGATTTAGCACTGTCTCGTTATATTCCACATTTGCACGCCATTCTTCAGAGTGGTGCACTTCTTTTGCCGACGACTTCATCGATGGACATTCTCCAGAATCATCCAGCGTTTGCGTTCCTACTCAGTCTCTGGGATTCGAACGTACTATCAGACAAGAAGTACGGTGACATGCTGGGGAACCCGATCAGCGACCAATATAACCTCAGGGCTTCCGCCAGTCCGCCGCCCGAAGCTACGAACACCCCTGTCCCTGACCCTGGAAGCGTTGCGTCTGTCGTTGCCCCCACCCAGGAACAGCTCATCGAGGTGATGCGTTCTGATTATGGCGATGTCATGGGTGACCCTCACGTCGACGACGCATTGGACCAGGAACTCCGCCGCAACGCGGATAGACTCTTCCGAGATCTTCAGGGCACGGCCTCAGCACACCGCGATCGCGATCATATCTAGGATGGGGATCTCTCTGACCCTATGACCGACAAGGGATTGCGACCATGAGCCGAAGATCTTGCCACCAACCGCGCCAGCTTTGTCCCGAATCGTCTCGTTCGAATGATCGGCCGCAAGTTGGGCGCTGGTGGCAACGCCCGCTGGCGGATTTAACAAGTGATCGAGAACGGAGCTGCTGAGCGCCAGACCGCCAAGCAGAATTGTGCAAGCTGCTACCGCGACCTCCCCAATGACGACCCAAAAGATGATGACCTGTGCCACGTTTGCTCTAAGTCATTCCAGCATGGGAAGACAGGTTCGTGCCAGGTCCAGGTCTTGGCTGACGTGAGCGACTGGGTCCGCGATCAGATAGGCGAGAACATCGCGCGCCAAAGAATGCGCGCGGGTGTCCAGGTTCGCGTCACCGGCACGCGATCCGATGCATCCATTGCCAAAGACTTCTCTCGCAGACTGGCTGACAAACCCACGCTCCGACACTCCGGGTGGTTGGAGGCCGGCAGTCCCAGCCCTGGCCAATGCCGTGTCGGCGGACAGGAAGACGCTGACAAGGAGGGAACGGTCCTCTATCATCCGAATCCCGACCGTGCCCATCGATTCCTAGAGGATGGCGCGCTCCACCGTCAGATGACGACAGACAGAGCGCAGTCACACCTGCGCCCACTCACGTTCGAGGACATGCACGAGGGACTGCGCCTGCGTAGCGAGAGCCAGCGGCTCTGATATGCTGGCCGGAGGGCACAGGCTCCCGGAGCGGTGCCTCGCGGCGTCCGGCTTGATCGCGGATGCTTGACCTTTTTCCGCTCCCTCTGGGAGGGGGCGAGGTCAGATGAACCGCGTCACGTTGAAAGACCTTCGGGCGCAGGTACCCAAAGGCGCCTGCAAGGGTAAGACAGACGACTTCACTGTCGCCTCCGAGGAACCCATCCGCCTCGCCCCTGCTTCTCCACCCCCGCGCTGGATGGCCCCGCGCCTGCCCGTGCTCCTGGCGGCGCTGGCTGGGCCGACGCTGCGGACAGGACTGGTGGAGCCCCCCATTCCTCTACATCTCGCCGCCCCCTGACACCACCGAGGCGCGAGCACGACTGCGACGACGACCGTGGCCGTAGCAGGAGTACCGTGCGCGAGCGCCGCAATGCCTACACTTGGTGGCTACGAGAACTGGACGTAATTATTGATTGGCATATGGTATTGTGTATCTCAGTATAGATATTGTAGCATCATCGATTCTGGATATTGATGTGATCGCATCGCGTGCTTTTGTTCATGCCTATCTGGAGATAGCTTGACACTTGTAACGTTCGATTGGGTATTTTTGGTTCCACACTGCATGCCGCTATTGCTTTTGATTTACATGGTATGATATGTCAATCGGACATGAACGCACCCAGGCAGGTCATCCGCCAGTAAATCTTGTACATTGAAAGATATTATTTTCTGATCATGGAACGGCGTCAGGGAACGACCGATGCAAATCACTATCCATGATTAGTGTCTTATTCGTTTTACTCCTCAGCGTATTTTGGGGGCCTGGAGTGTCTCGCATCATGCGTGATTCTTTCTCGGAGATCAGGTGTTATTACAACTATCATGATACTTATCAGACTTGGGCCTGGAGTGCCTTGGCAATCTTATGGTCCTGGAGAGCCACGTGGATGAGAGACATTTCCACTTTGATCGAGTTGTCGTCACAACTCCGACCCAGTATACCGGGCGCGCGCGCCACGACGGCGGCGACACCTGCATCGAGGGATGTTGATGCCACTCCTTTTCTCTCTATCCCTTCCTCTCCCATCCCTGTCACCTATGGTGACGGAGCATCGCCCAGGAGCGCCGAAGCGCCTTTGGGGGGCGCACCCTGGGCCCGCAAAGTCGGGTATATACTCGTAAGTACCCCGCGTGGCGGGGTTGGTTCTCTTCCCCACCTTCCTTGTCAATGCACCCTCCTTTGGAGGGGTGGCGCATGAAACGGGGCTGCGAGTAAACCTCACACCTCTGTTCCCGATCCCTGCCGCTGTCTCCCGCGGGCCCGAGGCCATCGGGAGCTGGCAGGTTTCGGGGCGAGGCCATCACTTCCTTACCACATCCCTTCCGCAACTGCATTGGCTCAGGCAGTGGCATTCTGACCATTGTGCGCTGCGCGCTGCGCAGTGCCTTGGAAAAAGGAGCCACCCTCCTTGCCTCTACCTACGGACCCAGTGCAGGAGCGGCCCCTCGGCCGGCCCCCTGCACTCGCAGCAGGGGAGGCTGGGTGTCTGCTCGTGATCGCCACGCCGACGTCGGTGGCCGTGGACTTGGCCGCGATTATAATTATCGTGTAATTGGTGGCGGAGGCCTCCACGCCGTCCCCGTTCTTCGAGCCCCCTGGCAGTGGAGGCGATGGTGCTGCTCCTCGCGGGGGCGCCCGCGCTGCTCTTCGCGGAGGTGCAGGCGCTGGCGCCGCGGGAGCCAACGTGCTCACCCGCCCGGGCCCTGGCGCCGCAGACGCCAGACGCGCCAACCGAGTTGCGGCTGAGAGGCGGAGGCGGCTCGCGCCGCGACGACGCGACGGCGCTGCCCGCCGGCCTCGACGACGAGTTGCTGGCGCCGCTCGTCGCAGAGGCGCGGGTGCTGATCGGCGTCTCCGTGCGGCAGGCGGCGGCGAGGTCCCACAGGTCCCGGTCCCGCGGCCCCTGCGTGTCCCACAGGTCCGGACAGGCTCGCAGGTCCGACAGGTCTCGCAGGTCTTCATGATCCCACAGGTCCCTCATGTCACCTCTGCTGCTATCGGGGTGCTCTGCTAGGGTAAGTATTTGAGTGCTGTGCGCGCGAATCTGCTTGAGCTGCGCGCAGTGCAGAGTGGGCCATGAGCGCAAGTGAGAAGCGCTGCCCCGTAAATACAGCAGCTCGCCCGTCTTGGATTTGATTGTGTGAACTTGTGGAGGCGGCGGCTCCCGTGGCGCTGGCGGCGGACATCGGGGAGCTGATCCTGATAGACCCGCGGGTGAGGCTCACCAGCGTCGCGCTGGCGGCGGTGGCCGTCAGCACAGCCGCCTCGCTGGGGCATGCGCGCGGATTGGCCAGAGCCTTCGGCACCGAGGTGCTGCTCTCGGAGGCTGGCCTGGGCTCGCTCGGGTTCGGCTGCCGCTGCGCAGAGGAGCTGGCGCCCTTCGCCATCGGCGCGCTGTTACGGATCGCCGCCGAGGTTTGGGCGCCGCGCATCGGCGAGGCGCCGGGTCCGATCTTCGTGCAGGTATGATCGCGGTTCCCGCGCCGCTGGCGGCGGAATGCGTGGACTTGCCTTCGCTGGTCGTGGACCTGTGCCTCACGCGGTCTTTGCTGGCGGCGCCGCGCAGTCCTGCGCAGGAGCGAGGGCGCCGCCGTGGCCAGCTGGCTGAATGACGGGGGCGCGACCCCGAGGCGCTGGACGCGGACCTGAGCTACGCGCATGCTGCTAGCAGTGGACGCCACGAGGCTAGCTCAGATGCGACGGCGCTTCCGTGGCCCACAAGTGTAAACGTTGCGCGTCTGAGCGAGACCTCCTTGCACGGGTCGCTAACCTGCCCTGCGCGCGAGTTGTCGCTTGGGGAGGCCACGCAGCTTTTTTTCCAAAGTGATGGCGTCTGCGTGGCCTGCGACCATGGACGAGGAAGGTCAGTCCGGTCCCCCTGCCTGACCTTCTCAGAGTTGTTGTTGGTGAGCGCCGCGCTGTCCTCCCTGCTCGGAACAACGACACCGCCGTGGCTGGTGGCTGGACATCGCTTGTAAGTGTGACATCCTTTCCTGGTCGCGGACTTGATCTGCACGCGAGCTGCCACCGCCGGAGGCCACGCGCCCCTGCTCAGGAGCGGTGGCTTCGCCATGGGCCGCGGCCAACGGCGAGGGCCAGCGCGACCTTCCTGCGCTGATCGCGGGCGTGACCTACACGCAGTGCTGCGGGTCGGTGCCGCAGTTCCGCTCAGGAGCGATGGCATCACCGTAGCCTGCGGGCTGAGCTACGACGTCAGCGCGAGCGCCTTGTGTTGGAGGTGGACCGCTGTGCGCTGCCTGTGAGTCGCGCGCGGCGGTCGCGCGGGCACGAACCATGAACCACGGCGGGCGCTTGTTATGCGCCGCGCCGAGGTCGCTCGAGCAGCGCCATACGAGGGCGGCCACGAAGCCCCCAGGGGCCTGACCGCCCATCTGCGCGGCCCGAGAGCGCCCCGCAGGACCAGCAGCGCGGGCGCGCGCCCCCGCGCAGCAGCGCTGGCTGGCCGCGCAGGGGGAGCGCGAATGCCTGTCCACTTGGGGCGCCCCCACCCGCGCCCGCCTCCGATGGGGCTTAGGCATCGCTCGAACGCGTGCATCTCTTTCCCCGGCGAGCACCATGGAGGAGCATTCTGGTCCATCGCGCGAAAAAAGTACGCGCAAAATCGAGCAACGCACGGGGAATGAACGTCCCAGCGATGGCAGGTGGTGGGCCTGGGTCGGGGCGGGCGGGGGCCCCATGGGCAGGGGTGAGACTTTCGGGCCCCCTCGCGGGGAGGTCGGTGGAACGGGGAGGCCGATGGCCACCTCGATCCCCCAGGTGTGCCCCGCCGTCTCCGATGTCGAGGCCCAGGTCTGGGCGCGCGAGCGCGAGGAGACGCGCCTCGCTAGGGGCCCCGCCGCGGCCGATGGCTCGGGTGGCCAGCCGCGCCGGCGTGGTTGGCCCGCGGCCGTGGCCGGTGTGGCCCCGTGGCCGGTGTCGTCCTCGGCCGTCGGGGGCCCTCGCCGCCGTCGTCGGGGCCGTCGCCGCCGTCGGGCCGTCGCCGCGTCTTCGGCCGTCGTCGGCCGTGGCTCCCACGGCTGGTGTCGTCGCCGCATCGTCGCCGTCGTCGCGGCCGTCGCCCCCGCCGTCGCCGCCGCCGTCGCCCGCGGCGACAAACGACGACGGAGCGCGGTCGCCGCCTTCCCCTTCTGGCGGCTGGCCTGCCCGCGGTCGCCGCGGACCCGACCTGCGCACAGATGGCCGCCTCCTGCGATGGCACGGCGAAGATTTGGCATGTCGGCCTCGAAGAGTACCCACGCGCCGTTGAAGGCCACCTCGCGATGTCCGCCCTGTTCCCGCCAGACAGGCCGGAGATTCTGACCGCCTCCTACGATAGCGCGGCGAAGATCTGGCGCGTGGGCTCTGGCGAGTGCTTGCGCGCCCTTGAGGGCAATGGCCATGTCGTGATTACGGCCGCGTTCTCCCTGGAAGGGCTGTGGGTGCTGACCGTTGACCGCCTCCTATAATGGCATTGGGAATTTCTGGCAGGTGGGCCCAGGCGAGTGCCTGCGAGCTCTGGAGGGCCACGACCATGCCGCGAGGTCCGCCGCGTCCGCGCCAGATAGGCTGGAAGTGCTCAGCGCCTCCTACGATGGCACGGCGAAGATCTGGCGCGGGGGCTCCCGCGAGTGCTTACGCGCCCTGGACGGCCACGGCTATGTCGCGATTGCCGCCGTGGTTTCCCTGGTCGGGCAGCCGGTGCTGACCGTTTCATGCGGTGGTGCAGCGAAGATTTCGCGCCCCGGGGGGCCACGGCGATGTCGCGAGGTCCGCCGCGTTCTCGCTGGACGGGCTGGAGGTGCTGACCGCCTCGCAGGACCTAATGACAGGATCTGGCGCGCAGGCTCCCGCGCGTGCGTCTTCGTATCGCAGGAATCGTGTCGAGGAACGCGCCGCGCGGGCCTTCTAGCTGGCGGCGCAGCGTGGCCCGCCAATCATTGGGAAGTTTTCGTCCGCTCGCCAGTAAGTTTTGGACGCGCGAGGGCGTGGCCGCTCGCTCGCTTCATGAAGCAACGAGGGGGCGCTTTTGAGGGCGAGCGGCGAGTCAATCGGAATTCGTTTAGTGATCGAGCTTGTCGGACGCAGTCCCCATTCGGGCCGATGCGTGGCGCCCACGGGGCACGCCGGGCCCAGCGCACTCCTGACCACACTCGTGCAGCGGGCATGCGAGCGCCCGCCGCCCTGCTATGCCCCATCGCGAGCAGGCCGCGCAAGCGTCGGTCGATTATGGACCACGCCAGGCGTCGGTCTTGAACCGCGCTGGAGGTTATGCAGCGCCTCGCGGGGGACGCTCATGTAGTCCCCTGGCCCCAAGGGGTCGGATGTGGGACGTAGGAGGGCGTGCGATCTGCGCCAGGCGTCGGCTTGGAACCACGTCAGAGGTCGCTCATGCAGCGTTTCGCGGGGGGCGCTCATGATTCGTCTGGAAGCGGACCCTCGCAACGCCTGCCAACCACAGGCCGCCCTTCTCCTTCCTTTTTCCTCCCCATTCCCCTCCCCCCCTCCGCTTCGTTCCTCTCTCCTCTTCCCTCCTCCCTTGTCCCGTTACTCGGCATGCGGCAATGCTTGCGGAGCGGACACTGAAACTATTCCACTGTACTCGCCACGTGGCACACGCCTGGGGGGGCGAACAAATGTGCTACCCCACTCTCCTCGCGACGTGGCAACGCTTGCGGGATTTACACAAGTATTATTTCGCGCGAGTTGCCAGGTGGAAGCGACGGGGCAGCGAACACACAAACTGCTGCACTCCACTTGGTTGGTGGCCCTTGTGGCGGTCCGCTCCAACGCTTCTGCGTTTCTCCCTGTGTTGTTTGTCTGGGCGGGGGGTCTGGAAGCTGGCCCGATACACTGTGCCCAAATAACGTTTAGCCTGCAATCCACGGGGCGAGGCGCGAAAGCAGGTGACCCACAGTAGGGGCGGCCGGGGCCAGCCCTTGCATGGTGGACAAAAGGAGGAGCTTGCAGATGTTGCGTTCCGCCCAGATTGTCCCGCATGCTGGGGCAGAGTCGCATGTCGATTCTGGCGAATGCGCACGTCGCTCGCCATGACTGGGCCTCCCGAGGGTTGTCCCTCGAGACCAGCCTCCCGTCCTGAGAGAAAAACGACAGGTCCGGGAGGGAGGAGCGCAGGGTCCGTAGGGTGGGAGCTCGTTAGCCGTCTCCCTTTGGGTGCGCTCCCTCCTCTCGGCTCCCCCCTGCAGGACTTCCGCCGGCTCCGGGGCCTCTTCGTGGAGCTGATCCTCGCCACGGACATGGCCTCCCACAAGCGCATCCTGGAGTTCGGCGCGCAGCAAAGGGGGCGGCGCGAGGGGCTCGGCCTTTGGAGAGGAGGCCTCTCAGACGCCGCCCTGGCCCACGAGGGGCCTTCCTGGAGGCCCCGGGCCCCGCCAAGCAGCCCCCCCCCCTTTGCCCTCCTCCTCCTTCTCTTCATCCTTTTCCTCTTCCTCCTCCTTTTCCTCGTCGTCCTCCTCCTCCTCCTCCCTCCTCCCGCTCTCTTCCTCCTCCTCCTCCTCCTCCTCGTCCTCCTCCTCCTCCTCCTCCTCCTCATTCTCCTCATCCTTCTCCTCCTCCTCCTCCTCCTCTTCCTCCTGAAGGACCCCCCCTGGGCCCCGTCCTCACCCACGTTCGCTCGACAAGAATGGTTTCCAGACCCCTCCCAGGGTCCGCCCCAGACCCGTGGATTGTCAGCAAGAAGCCGGGAGTCCGCCGTTTGAGCATATCCACATCCACCGCTTCGGAGCCGTGCGCCAGGATCTCGAGGACCTCTCGCGGAGAGGTGGATGCGGATATCCGCCCGCCAGGGAGGGCGGGAAAGTCCCCCCCCCCCCCCCCCCCCACACACACACACACACACACACACACACACACACACACACACACCGTCCCCTGGACATCCAGGGCAATATTCCGGCAAATGTGGTTGTAGATGCTTCTTCGTGGCGATGGGGTGACACAGAACAAAACATTTCTTCGTTCACTAGTAGTTCGGACGTACATGTCTATTCACACAACTACTATATATACATATATATACATAGGCAGACATGTATGCATGCATGTATGTATGTATGTATGTATGGATGGATGGATGGATGGATGGATGGATATGTGTGTATGTATGTGTATGTATGCATGTATGTATGTAGGTAGGTAGGTATGAATGTATGCATGCATGCATGCATGTATGTATCTATGTGTGTATGGATGGATGGATGGATGGATGGATGGATGGATGGATGGATGGATGGATGTAGGTAGGTAGGTAGGTAGGTAGGTAGGTAGGTATGTAGGTATGTAGATCTGTAGTTATGTAGTTATGGATGTATGTATGTCTGTATGTATGCATGCATGCATGCATGTATATGTAAGTATGTATGAATGTATGTATGTAGGTAGGTAGGTAGGTAGGTAGGTAGGTAGGTAAGCAGGTATGTATGTATGTAGGCATGTATGTATGTATGTGTGTATGTATGTATGTATGTATGTATGTATGTATGTATGTATGTATGTATGTATGTATGTATGTATGTATGTATGTATGTATGTATGTAGATAGGTAGGTACATCGGCAGGCAAGCAGGCAGGCAGGGAGGGAGGGAGGGAGGCAGGCAGGTAGGTAGGTAGGTAGTATATGCAGGTATGCTGGCTTGGACGTATGTAGGTATGTAGGTATTCTAGTATGTAAGTATGCAGGCACCGGTGAGTGCGCGGCCCCTTTCAGAGGGTCTCAAAAGAGGCCGAGGCCCAGAGGGGCCCTGGCGTGAGCAGCGGGCCCGAAGTGGCCCGAGCATGCGGCCTGCCCAGGCCAGATCAAGCGGTGAGAGGGGTTCCCCCCGCAGCGAGTGCGGCTCAAGAGAAAAGAGCGCTCTTGCCTCGTCACCTCAGCATGGTGGCAGCGTGAGAAAGAGAGAGAGAGAGAGAGAGAGATCGCACCTTCCCTGAAGGCTAGTGGCGCCAGCGCGCCATGGCGGCCGAGGCTGGCGTGGCTGGAGTGCAGCTGCTGGACTTCCGTGGTGTCGGGAAGGTGCCGGCCTTCACGGGCAAGCGTGAGGATGTCGAGGATTGGATCTTCCCGTTCGAGAGCTACTGCGGGCTGCTGGGGTGGACGGCAGGCCTGGAGCTGGCCAGCGACGCGGAGGAGCCTCTCGCCGCGGAGCAGATCGGCGAGCAGGGCATCCAGGTCGTCAGGAGCTTGTACCACCTGCTGGCCAGCACGACGAAGGGCACCGCGCAGAGCATCGTGAAGCTTTGCCCGTGGGGTGATGGCTTCGAGGCCATGAGGAGGCTGTACAGGGAGCGCCGCACGAGGCTGAACGAGGAGCATGGCCAGATGCTCCAGCAGATTCTGACGCCGCTCTGGTGGAAGGCGCGAGAAGGCAATCAGCGCTTCACGGAAGTGCTGATCGCCTGAGACGAGTTGATCTCCCGCTACGAGCGGGCAGCGGGCGAGGAGGTCACGCAGAACATGAAGACGAGCACGATCTTGGCTCGCGCGCCCGACGACGGCAAGGCCATGCTGAGGTCCGCGCAGAGGGATGTGCGGAACGACATCACAGAGATGAGGAGCTGCATGTTCGAGGCGGTGATCGGCCAGAGTGGAGTGATCGCAAAGCCGCCGACATCAGGCAGGAGCGGCAACGACATTGACGTCGACGCGATCTCGAAGGGAGGCAAGGGCAAAGACGGCAAGGACAAGTGCCAGATCTGCAACAAAGCGAACCACACGGCGCGGGACTGCTACTGGCGTGGCAAGGGCAAAGGCAAGAGCGACGCGAAGGGTCGCGGAGGTGGACCAGGCACCAAGTAGGGTTTCGGCAAGGACGGCAAAGGCAAAGGCAAGGACGTCAACACTGGGGAGGGCGACTACTACCACAAAACTGGCCACAAGAAGGCCGACTGCAGGAAGCGGCTCGCAGACGAGAAGGCGAAGAGCAACGCGGCGATCGAACAGGACAGCACGGAGCCGAAGACGGTGGCCAATATCGAGTTTGCTGAGTACGCGTGCGAGATCTACGACGACGACCAGCTCTACTGCATGGCTATGCGGGCAGACGACGCGGAGGCAGAGTGCTGCGCTATGGACGGCACCACCTTCATCGCGCTGGACACGGCGGGCGACTGCCACGTGGGCCCGGCCGCGTTCGGTGGGGGCTGCAGGAAGGCGGCGAGCGACGGGCCGAAGCTGCTGGGCGCGCAGAGGCAGGATATCAAGATGGACTCCATCGCGACGGTGCCGATGGCGGTCGACGACGACAACGAGCCGACGAAGTTGCTGAAGGCGGACCTCAAGCTCGGGGACACGGTGTCGCAGCCGATCCTCTCGCTGCTCGAGGTGATGGACAAGGGTGCCGGATTCTGGCTGAGCGCGAAGACGGGCGCGCGCATGTGCCCTGGCGGCGACCTCAGCAAGGGCATCCCGCTCACGAGGAGGAACAGCACGCTGGGTTTCAACGCGAAGACCTTCAGGACGACGATGGAGGCGAAGAAGTTTGCGGCCAGCGTGGTCGCGAACGAGCAGCCTGAGGAGGACTTCGCGCCGTCGCCCGGAGCCTCAGGCAGCGGCGGACCAGCCGCGGCGGCTCCGCCTGGGCCAGCAGTCGCAGCGGCACCAGCTGGGCCAGCGCAGCCAGCGGCAGAACCAGCAGGACGTGGAGAACGAGTTGGACGCTGACCAGTTCTACAGCGAGGAGGGCGGGAGATCGCCCTGCACCCCGAGAGCCGCGCGGAGGACATGCGGACGAGGCTCGGAGAGCTAGGGGCGCCGATCAACGGCAGGAAGGACGAGCTGCGGGCCAGGCAGAGAGACGCGGAGCGGAGGCCCCCGGCACAACAGAAAAAGATGAAGGAGTTGGAGCGCAGGCATGAGGAGTCCGCGCAGGGAGGGCCCGCGATCGCACCGCGAGAAGTTGCAGGACCTGAGGCGCCGTCGGCGCCTTCGGACGCGGAACGCGCCGCCCGCGAGCTCTCGCACCTCGCGCGCGCGCCCTGGCGCGAGGCCCGCGCGCGCGGCAACGAGACGACCAAGCCGCGCAAGACGCTCGACTTCGACAAGGAGGACACGGGAACGGCCCAGATCACCCTGGACTTCTGCTACCTGAAGACCAACACGGACTGGGCGGACATCGGAGACGAGGAACCGCCGGCGGCGGACATCTTCGCGACGACGATCGTGATGGCCAACAGGGACACGCTGATGTTCAACGCGGTCTCGATGCCGACGAAGGCGGTCAAGGACTGCGCATTAGCCAGCGCGAGCTACTTCATCGAAGGCACGCACCTCACGGCAGCGGACATCAAGACGGACGGGGAGCCCACGATCTTGAACTCGGTGGAGGAGGTGCGCAAGAGGCTGAGCAAGGGCGTCAAGCTGGAGGTGACGACGGTTCCAAGCGAAGGTGAGGACGTTCCAGTTCGATTTGGAGAAGCGCAACGGCATGAAGATCACAGCGGACGCACCCATCTGGCGTTTGTTGACACGCTACGTGAGCTGGGCGACTTCTACCTACGCACCACGGGCCGATGGGGGGGCATCTCATCAGGCAGCACTCGGAGTGACCTACAACGGCGAGGTTGTTCCATTCGCGGAGACTGCACTGTTCAGGATACGGGCCTCCCACGCGAGGCAGACCACGGCGACGCCTTCGAAGCGCAAGGGCGAGTCGAGCTTCGTGGCGAGAATCTGGATCGGGAAGCACAAGGAGAGCGACGATCACTTGTTCCTGACGCCTGCGGGCTGGCATCGCGCCAGGGGCCAGCGCTGCGAGCCGACGCGAAGCTGCCGCCCGGGGAGGCGAGGGGGCCCGAGCCCTGCGAGCTGCAGCCGCGGAAGCAGCGACCTCTGCCCACGGTTGCCCTGGCGGCGGCGGAGCAGATGGCGAAGGCATAGGCAGAGGCAGCGGCGCCGCCAGGAGCACCTCGGCAGGGGGCGCCCGAGAAGGGGGCGCAGCCAGCAGCGGGAAGCGAAGAGGGGCCGCTGGAGGAGGACGCGCCGATGACACCAAGAGGGCAGACGAGACCTGCAGAGTGCGAGGACTTTGGCTCGCCTGGGGAGCGAGCGAGGCACGTGGAGGCGATCTCGCTAGACGACCCCATCGACTACAGCATCCGGGGCGGCATGGGGGCGGCATCCTACGTCGCGACCAGCGGCCTGGACCTTGCGGTGGAGGTCAAGGGGGGGCGAGACGTTCTGGAGGCGCTGGCGCATTGCGGCGCGCACAGGGACATCCCGAGGAGCGAGGGCGGGGAGTTCAAGATTCTCAAGGCTCGCTGGGAGCCGCAGATGCGCGGCGGCGTCTGCGCGTGGAGGTACGTGGCCCAAGAGTTCGCGGCGAGCTCATCAGCGCAGACAAGCAGGTTGGTGGACTTTGTCAGCATCAAGGAGGAGAACCAAGGCACGTCCATCGCGGACTGCGCGAAGGCTTACTATCAGGCGGACCAGACGGAGAGGGTTTGCGCGGAGCCACCGCCAGAATACTTGGCTACCTTAGCGGAGATGGGGGGACCTACCGACATCGCGTGGGCTCTAGACAAGATGCTACCAGGACAGCGCGTGGCTGGCGCTAGGCGGGTAGACAAGGCGGCACGAACGCTGAAGGGCGAGGGCATCGAGCGATGTAAGTGCCAGCCGAAGCTCTACGTCCACAGGGAAAATGAAACCCTGACCGAGGTACACATGGGCGGCTTTCACGGAGAAAGGGCAGTGGCGAACCTAGACGGGGTGGTCAAGAGGCTGCAGGGGGCGTTCGACTTGAAGGCGACGGATGCCATCAGGCAGGAACGCTACTCGCACCTGAAGCGCGACAGGCTGAGGCTCGTGAACGGCGATGTGATGCTGCGACCGAACGTCAAGCACATCGATGACCTGATCTACGTGATCGGCATGGAGAATGCAAAGCTAGCGAAGGTTCCCAGCTTGATGGAGGAGGACCCAGCCTGGAGTCCCGACCTGGGCGAGGTGGAGAACGCGAAGTTTCGCGCCCGCGTGGGGATCTCGCTCTACATCTCCCCCGACAGAGCGGACATCCAGAGGGGCGTGCAGCTACTTGCGCGGAACTTGAGCCAGCCGACGGAGTTCCACAGGAATCGCTTGGCGAAGCTGGCACGGTGCCTGAATGGGGGCCAAGACATACGGCGTGCTGTTGAAGAAGCCAGTGGCGAGCAAGCCTGGAGAGGTGAAGTTGCAGCTGTTCACGGACGCGGACTTCGCCGCATGCAAGACTACGAGGAGAGCGATGACCTGCGGGATCACGAGGCTGGACGGCGTGCACTTCGCGGCTTTCGCGCGACGGCAGGGAGTCCAGACCACATCATCAGGAGAGGCGGAGTTCTACGGGGCGACCTCTGTGGTGATGGACGGCAAGCTCGTCATGGACGCGCTGGAGCGGTTGGGCTACAAGGTGACCTGGGAGCTCGGGATCGACAGCAGCGCAGCGAAGGCGATGATCAATCGCGAGGGCGTCGGCAAGGCGAAGCGCCTGGACGCGGGGGCTCTGCGGGCTCAGCAAGAGCGGAAGGTGCACGGGCCCAACGTGAGGAAGGAGAGCGGCGAGAAGAACGTGGCCGACTTAGGCTCGACGGCTCATCCTGTGGCGCGTTTTGAGCACCTGCGCGACTTGGCGGGCATCGTGGACTCCTCAGAGATGGACAAGCACAAGGAGCTTCAGGCGTGCTCGGTGGCAGCGAGCGCGAGCTGGGCGAGGCAGGTCCTAGTGGCCACCTTGCTGGCACAAGGGGCGACGCCGAGCTTGGCAACGACCTCTTGCGAGCTGGACTTTGACAGCCCGAGGGCCACCAGCCTGGTGGGAGTGAGGTTCCACGATTGGATCGATGACCACCTGTGGACGATCATCCTGGCGATCACACTGATGGTGCTCATGATAGGCCTGGTGTGTGAATGGCAATGCAGGGCGAGGTGGGTTTCAGAGGACGCTGTAAAGCACGCGGAGAAGACGATGATGATTGCTGGCACGAGCAGCAGAGACAAGGTAAAGCACGTGGAGAAGCCGACAACGATTGCTGGCACGAGCAGCAACAACAAGGTGAAGTACACGGAGGAGCCGCCCACGGCAGAGAAGCAGAGCCAGGCGCCATGCACCTACAGGTGGAAGCTGGCGACACCGAGGTTCGCGCCGCTCCCCGAGGCGAGCCGCGGATGAGATCAAGCTCGAGGTCAATGGCAAGGAGAAGAAGGTTGTTGCCTCGCCGAATCGCCGCGGGGGCGCGCAGGCTCCAGTGAGTGCACGGCCCCTCTCAGAGGCTCTCAGAGGAGGCTGGGGCCCGAAGGGCCCGGCGTGAGCAGCGGGCCCGAAGAGGCCCGAGCGCGCGGCCTGCCCAGGCCAGATCAAGCGGGGATAGGGCCCCCCCCCGCAGCGAGTGCGGCTCAAGAGAACAGAGCGCGCTTGCCTCGTCATTTCGGCGAAGTATGCATGGATGTGTGTAGATATGTACATGTGTGTATGTCTGCATGCACGCACGCATGCATGTATGTATGTATGTATGTACGGATGTATGTATGTATGTATATATGCATGTATGTATGTATGCGTGCGTATGTATGTATGCGTGCATGCATGCACGTATGCATCTGCAGGTACTTGTATATTGATATCGGGCCCCTTCCCCAACGGAACTGGCCGAATATTGTTTTGCGTCTTTATGTCCTCAACCGTTTTCGCTCAAGCTTAATTTGTGGACAGGCCACCCCCATTTTTTGTGTCCGAAGTGGACGTGGGGAGAGCCCGCGCAGCTGGCCACAAGACTGACGCAGAGCTACCTGGCGAGCTGCCCGCGCTGCCCCTAGCACCGCTGCCCCGACTGTAACTGCGGTCGGTGCCCGCCCATCCCCGCGTGCCCGGGCGCGCCCGCGCCGCCGGCCACGGCGGCGGAGGTGCAGCTCTCGATATGGCTGCCGTGGATCTGTTGCTGCTCGCGGGTGCGTGCCTGGCCGGGATCGTCGGCGGGGAGGCGGCGAATGGCTTTGTGCGAGGCTGCTGCCGGCGACGCGGCGAGGGCGCCGACCGCGCTGACCCAGCCGGAGGGGCCCACCCACGCGCGGGCGCACGTGCTCTACAATGGGGACGGCGAGCGGCGGCACCAGAGGCGACGCGTCGCGACCTCAAGGGTGTCTTCGGCGACTAAATACGTCCTGACGCGAGACGGCGATTGCTACGCGGAGAAGTACGACATGGAGGAGCAGAGCATCTCGGCGGTGAGGTACGCCGAGGCTCGATGGCCGCCGCCGCCAGGACTGGCGCGGGGCAGTATGTGTAGGTTCAGGGCCGCGCCGACTCAGCAGGAGGTTGACGACGCGGCCGACCAGGCAGGGGCGATGGAGAGGGCCGAGCACCGCGCCCAGGAGCTCGCTGCGGGGCGCGACCCAGCGGCGGTGCCGGCTGGAGGCTACGTCGGGCGGTTGCCCGTGGCGGTGGCAGCTGCGGCCGCGCCAGCGCCTGCCCCCGCCGTGGCCGCGCCGGCCGCCGGAGGTGGAGGCGGCGCGGCAGCCGCGGGGCGGCCGCGGCGCGTGGGCGCCCCTGTCGGAGCCGCTGGCGGTGGAGCTGGGGCCGGAGGAGTTGGCGGGGATCGAGGTGACCAGACCTTGGTGTGGGTCGTGGTGGAGACCAGCGCGGACTACCGCCGAGGAGACGAGGTGGGGCTGCCTGCTGGTGCCACGGTCGTCGGGGGGGTTGCCGTGTCCTTGCTGGCCGATGGCTCCGTCTACTCTCCGACAGATGAAGCGCTGCAACGTGCGAACATGGACTGGGGCCGAGGCGGAGGGAGACGCGAATGATCTCAGCATCCAGATAAGCGACCTGGGGCAGCAGTGGCCCCAGTGGCGGGACATCGTGGGGAAGTCGAGCGTGACGGACTTCGCGGACTGGCTCGTGGGACCGCGCAATGCCGAGAGGTGCATTTTGTTTTTGAATCGTAGAGGAGGCGGCCCGATGGATCACCATCGGTATGTCGCGATGCCGCACGGGCTCGAGAAGGGCGACTGGGGCGTCGAGACGCACAGGGTGCGTCTGAAGGCCGTGAAAGAGGCGGGCGGGTACGACCACCTGGAGCCGCGCAACCTGGCGAGCTTCGAGGTGCTGTTTCGCCAGGCGCAGCTGGTGGAGTACGTCTACGAGCAGGAGGGCGTCGGCAAGGGTGCTGGAATGGTGGACGAGTCGCTCGTGTTCACAGGACAGCACCGAGACGCTGGCGGTGTCATGCTGTCGCCATAGCCGATGGACTTCGCACCAAAGGAAGCCGAACGGGACGCGAACATCATGAAGCAAGTGCATGAGAAAGGCGCGGGAAGAGCGCCGAGCCCTCACCAACAACGAGAAGAAGGATTGGGAGCGAGGAGGCGGGAGTTCCCGCCCCCTTGCCCTGGCCGCGGGCCGGAGCAGCTAGCGGCATGGGCGGAGGCCTGCCTCCGCAGTTTTGCAGTTCTGATCGTGAGCGTCGAGTGGCTCGCGAGCTCCTGCCGCTTCCTCTGCTTGCAGGCCGCTCGCGTCTCTCCGAGGTGGTTGGCGAAGCAGGTGGTGGAGGCGAGCTTCTGCGCCGTGCAGTCCGCCGGCGAGGTCTTCGGAGGCGTCATCGAGAGGATTGAGTGTCTGGGACCACCGCCGCCCTCCACGAGCTGCACGGGGCCGCCCAGGAGTTTGGCAACTCGAATTTGCAGCCCAGCGCGGCGCGGTGCGCCTGCCTGCAGCAGATCCAGCAAGCTCATCGAGAGCTGTGTTCACCACTGGCTGACATGCGCGGACAGGGGGCCCTGGAGGAGCTCCTGTCGAAGCAGAGCTACGGCGGTGCCGCTGGAGCAGTGGCCCCCCTCGAGGTTGAGCGGGCAGCATTGCCCAGTCTCCAGCGCCGACCCGCTCGCATTCAGGATGTCGGCGGCTCGGCGGGCGTGAAAGTGCTCGAGGTCCTCCAGAGTTTGGTTCGGGCGACCGAGGAGGGAGCGGCCGAAAAGGTGCGACAGCTGCGGCGCCGTGTACGCAACGATCTAATCGTCCGCCAGAAGCCGGAGGAGCATGCAAAGCCCCTGCGGTCGCTGCGCGTGCGGGGGACATCGAGTATAGGCGCAGCTGCAAGAAAAGCGCGGGTACATTTTGCGTTTGGAAAAAGGGGGAGAGCTACGGCTCACCCTGCACCGCCGCGTGAGCAACAGCTGTTTCAGGGATGCGCCAGGCGTGAGCCTCGAAACGGGAGACAGTTCTGAGCGGCTCGAGTTCGAGGGCGCCGAGCCGGTGCACGTGTCGGGCGTAGACATCGAGGTGGCCTTCCTCTGTAGGGCTTCGGGATGGAGCTGGCGCGGGCGGGGGCCGTCGGTCTCGGCCGGCTTGGCGGAGTGCGTCTGCATCCTGGCGAGAAGGCGGTGCCCGTGCTGAGCGCCATGCCGACAGGCTTCAAGGGCGCGCCGTGCGCGCGCCAGGCGTCGCGCGAAGCGGTGGCCGAGAGGGTTGCCAGAGTCGAGGCGGGCAACAGGCCAGTGGGCGGCCGGCCCGCGCCAGCCGTGAGCCGCGGAGCTGCGCGCACCGAGCGCGTGGACAATTTCGTCGCGCTCGGCGCGGACTGAGGGGAAGGGCGTCGGCTGCCGACCGAGGTGGGCGAGTCGCTGGCGGCCGACGGCCCAGGCGCCCACTGGGTCACTTGCAGCCGCGGGGCGACGCGCTGGGCTGGCGGCTGGCACTTCGATGAGTGGAGGCGGGCCGTAGGCGCGGCTCCCCGCAGCGCCTGGCGCCTCATCCTTGGCTCGCGGGAGATTCTGCGACGGGGCCGAGCGAGCGGATCCCAGTTGAGAAGCATCGTGGGTCATATCACTTTTCGCGCGCTGCTGAGGCGCCCCACCCCTTCTGGCATTCACGCAGCCCATACATTTATCGATATCCATCCTGTACGAGCTACCAAGTTGTAGGATTCAGTTAGACTGGAGTCGGAGTGGATGAGTCACCTGGCCCCCCTGGCCTCCAGAGAGAGCTCAACGTGGTGTGGAACCCTGAGGTGACGGTGTTCGACGCGAGCGAGTGGGGGCACGGGGCGACGGGGCGACGTTGCGACGTCGGGCGATCAAGTATGCTGGGCGGTATTCGGATCTGTGGGGGGTCACGAACTCTGGGGGGGGGCAGCGGGTGCGACCGCGAGATGACGAGGGCGTCTGGGGACAAGAACAAGGGCAACTGCGCGGGGTGCCTGAGGTGCCCAGGTCTATCTGGGGAGGCTGCTGGAGCGCGTCGCCAGTGGGCCCTGGGGCGTCTCTGGGGACCAGGTCATCTTGGAGGCCTGGGCTGGCGTTTGGGCTTCGCGACACATTCTTTGAGACAGCAAGGCCGTGGGTCACCGACATCTCGTCCTCAGCGATACCACTTTGTGCTCGGTGTTTCCAGGGGTCAGAGCTCGAGCCAGGCCATGGAGCGCTGCCCCAGGCAGTGGGCCGCGCTGAGCCTGGCAGGATTCGCGGTCGCGCACGTTCGCTGGATACCCTCGGATCCTCGGAACGGAACGCGGCGGGCGGCGCGTCGCGAGGCTCTGGCGATCGCTCTGCGGCGGCGGCCCGCCACGCCGAGCCGCGGGCCGACGCGGCGGCTGATGGGGCGCCCGCCTTCTTCCGGGACATCGGGGGCTTCGAGTTCGCGGGCCCCGTCGCCAGCGGCTTCGTGGAGGTCGATAGCGGCGACCGCGGCGACTCCTTCGCGTTCCGCCCGCCGCCTTGGCCCCCCCGCCCCAGCGACCCGAGCGGGTCGGCAGAGGGCGGCGAGCTGGAGCCCGAGGCGGGCAGGCCGACAGCGCCGCCGGCGGGGGGCCAGCTCCGCCGCAGGCGCGCGCGCCTCGGCGCCCCCGCGCGCGAGCGCCAGCCGCGCCGCGGCGGCCGAGAGCAGGCGGCAGGCGCTGCCGGGCCAGGCGCCGACGCCGCTGGAGCGGGGCGCGCCCGCCGGCGCGCGGGCGCCGACGGCGCTGGAAAACGAGGCAGTCGGCAAGCTCACGCAGAAAGACTACCGCAACAGGTCCGACTGTTCCACGCGCTGGGCCTCGGCGAGGCGCCTCAGTTGGAAGACTCCAGCGGAGGCGGGCGAGGCGCTCGTGGCGCGATTGAACGAACAGTTCTTCGAGGGCGAGCCCCTGGCGACTGGCGCCGCCCGCGGCGCAGGGGCACCTGCTGCCCGGGGCGTCGAGGGGCGCGCTGGAGCTGCGGCGCCCCCGTCGAGTGCTCCAGGGCTGGGGGCGGCATGACCCTGCCACTTCGCGCCTGCCCCTCCCCTGGCCCGCGACGGCGGGGCTGGCGAAGGACCTGCTGACGCGCGGCCAGCTGGCCGCCCGCGGGGCCACGCAGCCAGCGTTCATGCCGCTGCTGAGGCCGGCGGAGTCGCTCAGGCTGGCGGGCGGGAGCTTGGTGGAACCCGTGGGCGGGGGAGCCAAGCACCGACGGAAGTGGTCAGTGGTGCTGCACCCGCAGGAGCGAAGAGTGACCTCGAAGGTGGGAGCTCAGGACGAGCGCCTGGCGTTCGACAACCCCGTGTTCGAGTTCGTCGCGCCGCTGCTGGAGTTCTTGCTGAGGGCCGCGCCAGACGGGGAGCCGTCCTTTCCTGCGAGCGCAGGCCCGTGGCAGGAGGCCCTGCGGGCGGCGGCTCGAAGGCTGTTCCCCTGCCTCGCCGAGCCAGCGCCGCTGGGCCGGCTGCGACGCGGGGGAGCGTCGCACGACGCTCTCACGGAGTTCCACAGCACCGACGGGCTGACGCGACGAGGTCGGTGGCAGAGCCTACGGTCCGTCAAGCGGCACGAGAAGAGAGGACGAGTGAACCAAGTGCTGCGATCGTTGACGACGGTGGAGCTGTAGAGAGCCCCGGAAGCAAAGCGCACCCCTGGCGCGTGCATCTCCGCGACATACCGCGGCCAGCAGGGCATGCGGGGTTCGCGCTCGAGATATGATTTGAAAGCGGGCGTTTCAGCCACAGCTGCAGGCAACAGGCGCCGTGGGGCTTGCCCATCTTCGAGATCGATGTCAGCCATCACTGCTCGCGCGATCCCAGTTGCCCGTCGGCTCGGCGCCTCATCCTGGGCCGGGTCCGCTCGGGGTGCTGCGGGGCGACCTGGCCGGGGACTCCCTGCTCAACGTACTCCCGGGCGCGGGGCTGGGGGGCAGGGCCGCCTCGCCTCCGCTCGGACGAGCAGCCGCTGGGCCTCGACGGTCTGTCGGACTGGGACAGGGCGAAGATGGGGGTGGCATGCGAGCTCCGCCGCTTCCCCGCCAAGGCCCTGATCTGCTGCCTCCTGCAGGGTGTGCCTGTTGCGCTGGAGAATCCAGCGCCCTCGCGGTCGTGGCTGACGCCGCTGCTGCGGGCCGCCGCCCGCCGCCCAGGAGCGAGAGAGAGTGTCGCAGATTTCTGTGCGGATGGGGCCCCCTGGCGAAGGCGAATTAGATTGATGCGCGTTCACTTAGACCTGAGCGTAGCGGCGCGTGTCTGTCACAGCGCCAAGAATGAGCATAAGTGTGACCGCGCGGGCCGAAAACACGTTGTCTTGCACGGCAAGGGTCCCGACGGAAAATGGCTCACCAAAACGGCCGAGCCATACCCTCGCACGTTGTGTAGGCGTCTGGAGAGCCAACATCGCATTTCTATGATTGCCTGTGCAGTGCATCACCTAAGTTGAAAGTTGTGTTGAACGGCGTGCCAGTGGACGACTTTGGAAATGTCTCAGCTTGGAATTGACTAGTGTATTCATATCTACTGTCTTTGTGCGCGGGGGTCGTCTCTGCTAGCGAGTAGCCTCCCACTTACACACACCCTCGGATAGGGGTGGCCATGGCGTGGGGAAGTGGTGGCGAGAGATCTGGAGGTGCTTGTACATTGTGTGTATGTATGTGTGGATGCATGTATGCGTGCATCTATGTATGTTTGGACGTATGTATGCATGCATGTGTGCATCTTTGTAAGTATGGATGTATGCAGGTAGGCATGTGTGCATGAATGTATATATATGGGTGTATGTATGTATGCAGACATGTACGTTTGTATGTATGTATGATTGTGTATATGTGTGTTTGCGTGTATGCATACAAGTACACTGCTTCACGCACATGCATATGTATATGCATGTGTACGTAAGTTTTACACACCGAGACCACACACACATACGTTTGAACGTCCGCGGGTAGGAGCGATTCAAAGTACACACACACACACACGCATGCTCGCGCAGACACAAGTGTAGACTCCTCGACGCGCTGCCGAGGATTCCGTCGACGCCGCTCTAGAGAGGTTCGCCCGAACACCGCCAGTGGCCTCGCTGGACCACCGCCCTCGCTGCCCTCGTCGCCGCCGCCGTCGCCGTCGCCGGTGTCGTCGCCGCCGCCGCCGTCGTCGCCGCATTCGCCGCCGTCGCCGTTGTCGCCGCCGACCCCGCCGCCGCCGTCGTCGTCGCCGTCGTCGCCGTCGTGTTCCGTCCGAGACGTGAGCGAGGCCAGCGCCCCGACACCGCCGGGGAGCCTGCCCGGGCCTGGTGTTCACCCTGGGTGGCTCTCTCGATGGCCCCCAGGGCCCGACGCGGGCCCGACGCCGGCGCCATGCCTCTCGATCCTCGAAGACCGGCTGGAGAAGCGCCCTTCTCCGAGCGGCGGCGCAGGGGCGCGAAGACTGCCGCGCGTCGCGCGTCACACGACGCGACTCGCCCAAGTTGGGTGATTCAGGATCGAGCAGAGGTCGAGGAAGTCGGAGAGGCCCACGCCGTCGAGGAAGGATGAGGGGAGGTCGAGGAGGTCGAGGACCACCTCGAGGAGGAGGAGGAGGAGGAGGAGGAGATCGATCGGTCGCTCGCGGCCCTCGAGTGGCCCAGTCCGCTGAGCTCTGCCGGGACGGGCGTGGCAGGCGCTATTTACACCCCACAGCCCAGGTTAGGGGTCGCAAACAGCGGCGCAAAAAAACAAATTAAAATCGAGGAGGAGGAGGAAAAGGAGGAGGAGGAGGAGGAGGAGGAGGAGGAGGGTTTTGCTCCCGCCCCGGATCCTGACCCCCGGAAGTTTCTAGAAGTCGGGGAGATCCCAGAGGTCCTTGGAGGCCCGAGAGAAAAAAGAAAACGTCCAATAGCCGTCCGAAGACGTCCGAAATCCCTCCTCGATCCTTGAGGAATTGCGGGGCAAGACTTAGCAGGAGGCGGAGGAGGAGGAGGAGGAGGAGGAGGAGGAGGAGATGTCTGCTGCTGCTGCTGCTGCTGCTGCTGCTGCTGCTGCTGCTGCTGATGCCGCTGCTGCCGCTGCTGCTGCTGCTGCTGCTGCTGCTGTTGCTGCCAAGGACGGGGCTGGCCTGGGCAACAGTTGTCACAGGTAGCCCTGCCCAGCAGCGAACAGGGCAGTTTCCATAGTCTTTTCGGTTCGAGCCTGTAGCCGAGCAGGCCCTAAAGTTGTGTCCCACGAAGCAACCAGTGGGAGGCCGACCAAAGGTGGAACACAATCTCGTTGATCCTCTCCTGCTCCAATGTCGGGCTCGCCCATGGCGCATGCACAGGAGAGCTTTCGGGAGGCCATGGCCTTCTGGCACTGGCGGTGCTTCAGGGAAATCAAAAGCATCGAATTGCAGTCTTGTGCCAACAAGGTGGAGCTCGCGAGGACCGCGGCGCAACGTGGCACCTTCGCCGCGACGGTGCGGACGCTGACCCAAGAAGCCACCCAGCGGGACAAGGCCCTGGCACTGGGCTTGAACGAGCCCTTGTTCGAGTCCATTCCCGAGAAGCAGGTGGAGGAGAAATGCGAAGAGCTTTACAAATCAGCCGTCGACAAGATCGCCGAAAAGGTGTAGCGCCGAGCCGGAGAGCAGGCGAAGAAGGAAGCCAAAGAAAAGGAGGTTGAAAGGATCTGGCTGACCAAGGATCCACCGACCGTCCTGCGGGATGCGATCGCCGAACAGATCGGCAAGGCACTTGCCAGGAATGATCGTTAGGAGGATGAGGACGACGGCATGGGCGTCACCCAGGAGGCCACAGTTCCCACGGCCAGCCTGCAGCGCTTCTGCGGGGCTCTCCAGACCGAGAGCGGGGGGCAAAAAAACGAGGATCCACGAATGTGAAGCGCAGTTCGTCTCCTTGCCTCTTCCCTCCGCACCTGCATGTATCTTGATGCACTGTCTGCCATGCCTCTCCCTAGTCCTTTCCGCAGCCGCGTGGCGTGGGTCACAGGGGACCGCTCGTCGTCACATCCCTATCTTTCCTACTTCTTTGCCCACCGTCTTCCCAGGTACACCCATGGCAGCAAACGGTTCCGGCAGCGTGCTCGCAGGAGCCATCGACCCGTCCGCGCAGGCGGCGGCGGCTTTGGCCGCTCCTCCGGCTGCGCCTGACCCATTTGAAGGGGTTAATTATTTCGGCACCTTTTAGGAGAAGCTCGCCGCTGGCGGGGCGGAGGCCCGCGCGCTCACAGAGGAGACGCGGCGGACCCGTTTGACGGAGGCGTTGGTCAAGCGCGGGCACAACGAGCCCGATGCCGGGGAGTTCGTGAAAGACGTTGCCAACATGGGGAAGGCACGGCAGTCGTGCGCGAACTTCTGGGGGCCATGTTGGCGCGAGGCACTTCGGCCAGGCCAGGCGTCGAGGCGACCCCGGCAGGCGTCGTGCCCGCGGCGTCACCTTTCGATGTCCCGCCAGGAGGCTGGACTGGAGCGTCGCCGCAGTAGCTTCCAGCCGGGTCGGGAGGTAGCAACGGCAAAACCTATCCCTCGGGAAGGTCGCTGCAGCCGTGGTCAGGCAGGACGAACAAGAAGGCGTTGGAGAATCTGACGGCCGAGCATGACGCGACCGACCAGCTCCAGAAGCTGGCGCAGGCCGCCGGCCAGGGGGAACCACTTCGCAGCCTCGAGCCTGACGAGTCCGCGCCGCGGGCCGCCGCTGCGGCGCGCAAAGCTGGGCGCTTTCTTCAGACGCCTTCGCGCAAGGTGGAAGACGCGGACCGTCTACAGCGCCCGCTGGCGCAGACCGTGGCCCAAGAGCTGCCGCGTCTCAGGGCGGCTGCCTTTGGAGGCCGCGTCTCTTGTGGCGACGCCATGAACTGGGTCGGCCAAGCCGCCGCCGCGGCAAATTTCTTTTTGCCATGGGGGCCGCCCCATCTTCTGTGTTGCTGAAGTGCGCCTGCTGCCGCTTGCTGGTGCACGACTCCAGCGTGTACTCGCTGGCATGCCCTTTCTGCAATCGGACCTCCTGTCAGGCCTGCGGCTCGCCGGAGGCTCACGCCTGCGAGGACGAAGCGAAGTCTCGCGTCAACGTGAGCTCCGCGACCGACTCCGAGGACTCCGAGGGGAGAGGCGAGCGGGCCTTCTCCGACGCAGCCGAGGAGGGGGAGGCGGAGGAGGCCGAGGAGGTGGACGCGGTGAGCGGACACCTGGGGGAGGCGAGGGCCGCGTGGCGAGACAGGCTCACAAGGACTCTCCACGTCGAACGAGGCTTGCTGGGTGGATTCGTCCTGTGGAGCTCCCTGCGCCACCGGCGTGCGTGCGCCTCGTCGGGCCGCCGAGGAAGCGCACCCTGCGTGGCGAGGTGTGCTCTTTGGCGCCGCCGCGGGCGCACCTCCCCGTTCCGCGGGGTCCCCAAGGTAGGATTCGGCGCTGCTGGAGGCTGCCCCCTGCCCCCTGGAGGCTGCGCCCTGTCCCTGGCCCTCTTGATTTTGATTCGTTGTCCTGCGATCCGCTTGAAGAAGAGCATCTGCTCCAGATTGTTTATGCCACCCGTGCGGCATGATCGGGTTGCGGCCCTCCTGAACTCTGGGAGACTGACACAGGCCGCGCGTTGCGGGCCTGGGGGTTGCCCCTGGCCCCTTTCCTGCGCCACGCTCTGCGGGCGTCGCCGGGGAGCGACGGAGGCGCCTAGGCCGCTGCGCGCGCTGCAGGGGTAGCGCCCGGGACGCCAGGAGTTCGCTCGTGTGCGGCTTGCGCCAGCATGGCTGGTAGCGCGGCGGCGCTGCCCATGCTGGGTGCCCACGCCAATTGGGGGCCACGCTCTGCAGGGCCCGGGCGCGCCTCGCCCGGGCTGCGCGGCCGTGCGATTGCGATTGCGCTTTCGGTTGACTCGAATGCCGCGTTTTCGGAGCAGGCCAAGCAGTACGGCCCCACTGAGTTCACCCCCGACCTGGCCGAGGAGGGCTGGGACACCTTCGGGAACCTCGAGTTCTGCGCGGCGTGCATTCCAGTCCAGGGGGGCGTCTCCAAGCTGTCGCGGGACCCCCTCACCCCGGTGTTGGGTTCGGCCGATCACCCCCGTGCGGCTGCGCTCAGGCGCCTGCATTTTGAGGCATGCACGATCGCAGCGGCAGACTTGCGGAGGCGGGTGGAACGCGCGGACGCGGACCCCCCTCGGAGGCTACCCAGCGCGGAGAAGGAGGAGCGCCGCAAGGTCGTTGCCGATCGTCTCGGACCAGGGATTCGCTTCGAAGACAACTTGGACCCGCGGCACGGCCTGATCGATTTGGCGACGGGCTTCTACGTGGACGACAGGCTGCAGTGCACCCCTTGGAAGGACTGCAACACCTTGGACCAGGAAGTCGAGGGCGCCCGCGAGGTCAAGGTGCGGAAGCCAGACCACGCCGGCCGCATCCGGGAGAACCTTGTCGACGAGGTGGCGGCGACGGCGGACATTTCGACGGGCCTGTTGTTGAAGCAGACCCTCCAGCGACGGGGGCTGGCCCTCGAAATGGGCGACGCGCTCAGGTTCGACATGCGCGAGAAGCTCGTGGACCTCCTCACTGGGGAGTACCAGAGGGAGCCTCCCCCGGCTACAACAGGGTGAGCATCGAGCAGCTGGCGGGGGCGGATCGCGAGGTCTCAAGCACTTCGCTCCCGAGACTCGCACCGGCATCAGGCGGAACGCCGAGGGGAAGCGGCCCTTGGACCTCCTGTTCGAGACTGCGTTGCAGCTCTCCAAGGTCGCGCTCTTCTCGGCGCCGCTGCAGGGCGCCCCAGGAGGGTCTGGGAAGAAGCGCCCTAGGGAGGACGACGCCGCAGGTCCGGCGGGAAGGGGCGTTCTGCTCGCAGGGCCGCAGCGCGCAACAGGCGCATGGACGAGCTGAAGGCGGAGGCTGCGGCGGCCAAGGCCGCGGCGTCGGCTGCTCGGGCGCCCCGTGGGGCCAAGGGCGCAGTCAAGGGCTCCCATGGGCCCAGGATGCCCAGGCAGTTGATCGGCGAGTGCGCCAGGACGTCCGACAATCGCCCGTTATGTTTCAACTACAACTTGGGCAAATGCGACGGGAAGGTGAAGCCTGGGCAGAGCTGCTCCATGGGCGCCCACGTGTGCCGCAAGAACGTCGGCAACGGGGTCGTCTGCGGAGGCTTCCATCCGCTTCCAGAACGCTCCCGTTGACTAGGTCGGAGTGGAGCGGTCTCAGCTACAGCCGTCGACACATGCGCGGCTATTGCGCAGTTCTGCACCCTTGCCAGCTCGGCACCGCCAGTCGGGAGTGGCGTTTCGCCAGCATCAGTGAGCCCGGGGGCCGCTACCGCGAGCTTGCGTCCGACGGCGCCATCTTCCTCTTCGACCTTCTGTGCGGCACCTACAAGTTCTTCCTCTTGTATTATTGCGCATTTGCCAATTGGGGCCACTGCGTCGACTATGGCGTCAAGCCCTTCAGTTTTGACAGATTTGGGGGGTTAGGGCCCCTGCGGAGTCCACGCCTGGCGCCGACGACCACGCTGGCGCGGCAGGTAAGCGGGGGAAAGTGGGCAAGCCAGCGAGCGGTCATGTCCTGCAGGGCGCCATCTATCCCATGAAGGAGACTACCCGCAAGGTCGCAGCCGTCTGGGGCCCACTTGTTCTCCGCAGAGATTTCAGACCCGTCGGTGGTGCACGTTCGTTTTTGCATCCCTTCCGAGACGTTCAGCAGGGCCCGCGAGCGCTCAACGCCCGCCTGGGCCGAGGCGAGAGGGGCGCCGAGGAGCGGAGGCATCAAGAATCCTTGGGGCGAACGCTTTGGTCAAGGTGACGCTGGATGCCATCAACATTTGCCGCCGGCGGCAAGTCCTGCACTCCGTCGACAACCCCCGCAACAGCATTTTATGGGCCATACCTGGATTTCGGGACTTGCTGATCGCGGAGGACACCTTCAAGGTCGCTTTCCAGGTTTGCGCGCACGGCGGCGCGAGGGACAAGTGGGTCCAATTGATGGCCAACTTCAGCGAGATAGCCGCCGTGGCAGCCGCGTACCCGAAGAGCCACCAACACGCCCCTTGGGGGCCCGCCTTCCGCAGAGAGACCTTCGCTGGCTTTCACGCCGCCCAGGAGGCGGAATTGCGAGCGATTGGCAGCCATCGTCGCTGCTGCGGCGGCCGCGAGGGGACTCGGGGCCAGCGCCGCACCCCTCATCGACAGCGTCCTCGCTGCCTCCTCGTTGAAGGGGCCAGGCGCCAACAAGCCGATGCCAGGGCTTTCTGCCAGCGCGGACTTGAAGGCATTCACCTCGGAGCAGCCTCGCAGAGACACCTTCCAGCTCATCTCAGAATGCAGGACCGTCTTCTTGGTTGGCGTGAGCACCGCGCGCGACAAGATCTGGCTTGCCGCCAACAAGGGCCCCATCCTGGCTGACCATACCATAGCTGGGCACGTTCTTCCACGAGGCGCCAGGATATTGCAGGTTCGCGAGTTGACTGGGGCGGACGTCGGGAACCTGGGTAATTAGTTCCGAGGACGCTCTGCGAAAGTGTGCGGAGTTGCCCCCGACTCATACCAGGGACCGGGTCATCGTGCAGATCGGCACCCCTTGGTCGCCCCACGAGTTTTTCCAGCAGGCCAAGGTGATGGACTCTCCCTGGGGGCGGAGGAGCGCCCTTCCGCATCGCCTCTGCGCGCCGGCGTTCAGGATCCTGATCTTGGGTGCGAGTGAGATCATCAGGGGCCGACGGGAGCGATTGGACTACTGGAGGGGTCGCGCTGCGGCATTGGAGGAGGCCGAAAACGACCTCCATGCAAGAGCGCACAGCGAGGTCCAGCCCTTCCTCGTCGGCAAGCGGCCCCTGCTTCTCCAAGAGGCTTTGGAGGCAGTTGGTTTCCCGTCCCCGGGGAAACTGATCGGCGAGATCGTCACGGGCGCGAAGCTGTTCGGCGAGTGCCCGGCCACGGGCGTCTTCCCATCGAAGCGAACCGACGCGTCGACTTCTTTCGAGGACTTGTTCCGAAAGGCCCGATGGGCGCAGACGACGGCCCTGGCCACGACCCGGCCTTCGGGCGACCGGGGGATGGACGACGTCATCTTCGAGAAGACCCAGGCCGAGTGCGAGGCCAGGTGGGCGGTGGGCCCGCTCTCGAAGGAGGAGCTGGATGAAACGCACGGCCAATTGTGGGTCCCAGCGTGGAGATTTGGAGTCCGGCAGGTCTCCGACTGCAGGTCCCTCGACGACTTCTCCGAGTTCGGGCACAACGGGGCCTCCGCGGCGTCCGAGAAAATTGACCCCTGGGGCATCGACGAGGTCGCGGCCATGGCCCGGGCGATTCTGTCATCGGTCGATTGGGACACTGGCAGGGTGGAGCTCAGGCCAAGAGACGGACCGCCTTTAGTGGGCCGCGTGCATGCCAGCTGGACGCCAGAGTCCCTGCATCGCCTTGTCGGGCGCTCGTCGGGCCTATGAAAGGCGTTCAAGCAGCTCGCCCGCCGGCCGTCTTTCGCCGCCTTCTCGATAATCATGGTCTGGAACCCAATTTCGGAGACCCCTGAGCTGTGCGAGTTGAGAGCCTGCCCATTCGGAGATCGCAACGTGGTGTGGGGGTTCAACTGGCTTGCCAGAGGTTTGCAGTGGGTATTATGCTACATCTTTGATCTCGCGGTGACGCATTACTTCGACGATTTCCCGCAGGTCGAACCAGAGCTACTGGCCAATTCGGCGGAGGCGACGCTGAAGGCTTTCATGGACCTTTTGGGATGGAGGTTGAAGGAGGACGATGGTACGGACTTGTCGTTCGACGTGTCCTTTTCAATGTTGGGGGTCGTGTTCGAGTTTGCCATGGCACCCGTCGGCGCCTCCTTCGCGGTGCGGAACAAGGCGACGCGCGTCCCCGAGATCCTCCAGTCCCTCCGCGAGACGCAGGTCTCTGGAATGAGGCCTGGTTTTGCAGCGAGCTTGCTGGGCCGTCTCAGGTACACTGGCTCCAGCCTGTTCGGCAGGGCTGGCACCGTGGGCCTGCGACTACTGTCCGGCATGGCCGCGCGCGGTGGCCTCCAGCACGACCAGGGCGAGCTCCAGGGCGCGATCGCCTTCGGTGAGTTTTTCTTCGCACGCTCGAAGGGTCGGCTCGTAAAGGCGAAGTTGGCCGCTTCGCTTTTGATCTTTTCTGACGGCGCCGTGGAGGGCAAGGAGTACGAGGGCATCACCGTCGGCGCGGCGATATGGGACCCTGAGGACGATTCGCTGGAGTTCTTCGGGCGCTTTGTTCCTCATGCATGGACTGACAGATGAAGGGCTGGAGGCACGGACCAGGTGATCGCCCAAGCCGAGCTGTACCCGGCGCTCGTGGCGCGCCACACTTGGGAGCAGAAGGTCGCTGGGCGGCCAGTTGTCCAGTTCATAGACAATGATCCCGCTCGCCTGGGCCTCCTACGAGGCAGCGGCTACTCCACAGTTCTGGCGCCCGCGGAGCTCATCGGCATGATCTGGCAGGAGGACATCCGCCTCGAGGTATATTCGTGGTACGGTCGGGTAGCGAGTGCATCGAATCCAGGAGACTCGCCATCACGGACGGATTGGAGCTTGCTGGAATCATGGAGAGGTGTCCAGTGTAGTCCGCGCCTGGCGCCACCCCCGGATGAGTGGGGTGTCTGGCGGGGCACCAGGCACGTTTCGTGACCGTCGCGCGTTGCGACCCGAACCATCCCCGCATTATGAAAAATGAGGTGCGGTCGTCTGTCAATCGATCTCGATGCGAGTCCGTATGTCACCATTGATTGTTATTCCCATGTCGCTCCATGCGTGCCCTTCCCTGCCATCCTTATTAATGTATTGATTCACGCCTTGATGCGCACAGATTCGGCGCAACGAAATTGTCACGAAATGATGCTTCTTAATCCTCTCTGCGCGAGCGGGTGGTCCTGCTCGCAGCTGTCCGGTGGTCGCCCAGCTCAGGACGTCCGACATCCCTCCTCGATCCTTGAGGAATGGCGGGGGCAAAACTTAGCAGCAGGAGGAGGAGGAGGAGGAGGAGGAGGAGGAGGAGGAGATGTCGTCGACGTCGTCGTCGTCGACGTCGTCGTCGTCGTCGTCGGCGTTTCCGTGGCCCCGTCGGCCCGGGGCCGGCACGCGGGCGGCCGCCCCCGACGCGCAGGACGGTGGCCTCGGGCCGGGCTCGGCCGGGGAGGCGATGCTGCTGCTGCAGGTGTCGGGTGCTGCCAGAAGTGCCCTCGTGCCAAGTCGCCCCCCAACCTCCTCCTCCTCCTCCTCCTCCTCCTCCTCCTCCTCCTCCTCCTCCTCCTCCTCCTCCTCCTCCTCCTCCTCCCCCTCCCCTTTCCAAGGAGGCACCCACGGCCTCCAGAGCACCCCATCACGAACCCCAGGGGGCCCAGGGGCTCCAGAACTGGGCGAAGAGCTGGGCGCAGCTTGCTTGGGCCAGGGGCACCCTTCGCACCCCCCCGAAGGTGGCGGTCAAGTGCGCGGACCGCGGCGGCGAAGCGGGGTGATGGTGACCGGGAGGAGGAGGAGGAGGAGGAGGAGGAGGAGGAGGAGGAGGAGGAGGAGGAGGAGGAGGAGGAGGAGGAGGCTGTCGCTCCCTGAGGTCCTGCCGCTGCACGCCGTTCACGCCGGGCGTCTTCGCCCGGCTGCGGGCCCCCGGGGCCCTCACGGAGCGATCCGGCTCGAAGAACGACGCGGAGAGATGGGGCCCAGGGCTTTGGCCGTGATCTTTGGCGGCGGTGCCTTTTTGCTGCAGCGTTGGATCCCAGGGTTGGTTCTGGGAGGTTGTCGTTCGATAACACGCAAGAATGGCCCTTCGCCGGAGTGACCTCTGGTGCGGGCCCACGGGGGTCCACCGATCGCCGAAGGCGAGGCGGCAGTGGCGTCTTGCGCGCTCGTGTTTGGCTCCCCCGCGGCGCCCCAAAGCCGCGCATCAATCGGGGGAAAGCAAACCTACCTCGCTTTTGACCACCCTCGCTTCCAAGAGATACCAAACGATGCCAACTTGCGGCCTGTACTGGTCAGGCCGCTTGACGAGGAGGCGCGTGGTATGGCTTGGTTTTGCCTGGAAGCGAAAGCGGGGGAGGTAATTCACGCTCTGAATCAAAGGCCACTCTTGCCCAGGGTCACTCTTGCGCGTAGTCAATTCGTTGGCTCCTGGGAGCAGGTGTCATTGGCTCCCTGAGGGCTTCTCGCCTCGCAGGGCTTCTCAGCGGGCGGCGCCTCAGCGAGAGCGCTCTCACCGGAGGTGCCCGCATGTCGTCTCGAGCGGCCGCTGGCGCCGAAGTGGGATCCGAAAACCAGCAGGCGTCGAAGAGGGGGGCGAGGAGTACAGTCGGACCGAGGAGGAGGAGGAGGAGGAGGAGGAGGAGGAGGAGGAGGAGGAGGAGGAGGAACAGGAGCAGGAGCAGGAGCAGGAGCAGGAGCAGGAGCAGGAGCAGGAGCAGGAGCAGGAGGAGGAGGAGGAGGAGGCAGAGGAGGAGGAGGAGGAGGAGGAGGAGGAGCAGGAGGAGGAGGAGGAGGAGGAGGAGGTGCGGAGCGGCAGCAAAGTCCGCTCCACGCAAAGAGGTCAAGGGCCCTCTTCGCATGATAGGCAGTGTACTCCAATACAGTCGCACCGAGGTAGAAGATCGAGGTCGGTTCGGGGAGGGAACTTAGTGTTTTTCGTGTTTGTTGGGTGTTCCTGTGCATCCGGGGGGAGGGCACCCTCGAATGTTCTTCGGTTTGGGCCGGCGGAGGGTCTCATGTTCTTGATGGATGTTTTGCTGTCCTGGGTCCGACTGCAAGGGCGTGCGTGCGTGGATACAATGAATGGGGCCATGACATCTCCCAGCTGCCATACCCTCCCCTTCTTTTTCTCTCGCGCAGTCGAGGAAGGCACTGAAGTTCAGGAGCAGCTTGCGTTCGGGATGGGCTCGCTGTTCCTCCAGTCCTCCCAGGGTTGTCCCTCCGGCGCTCATCGCGCACCCAGGCGCCTTTGGGGGCCAAAAGGGGCCGTTCCTTACTTGGCGTTCCCCATGGTGGCACGACGACTGTACGTTCCCTGGCCTCCCCTCGACCACGCACATGCTTCGGGCCATGATGCGCCTACCGCCCTCTTCCTGGCCCACCCCTCCGGCGCAACCGAAGGAGAGGGAGGCGGGGCGAACGGAGCAGGCGACCGACTTGCCAGGGCTGTTCGCTGCCCAACTCGAGTTCAAAGCACCGATCCCGATTCCGATCTCGGTCCGATCCGATCCGAGAGGGCCCGCGGCCTACGGGGGCCGAGCACGATCCGCGATCCCAGACGATCCGATCCCGAGCCTGGCTCCGCGGCGAGTCGGGCGCGACCCGCTATCTCGATTCGGCATCGCGAGTCCGATCCGATCCGATATCGCGATTCGATCCGGCGCTCAAGCCTGCCTCCCCGGCCCGCGTCTCTCGAGGGAAGGCCTACACTCTGCACGAGCATGCCGGGCGCGTGCTCCCGCATGCGTGGCGTTTCTCGGGGCGTCGGGCGCTTTCCTCGCTGGCGGAGGGCCACTTTGAGCCACAGGGGCCAAGTCGACCCGGGTGGGAAAGCGGCCAGGACGGACCCTGGGAGGGGGCGGACCGAGTTTGAACCGATCTCGGTTGGGGACCCCGGGAGGAGGAGGAGGAGGAGGAGGAGGAGGATGAGGAGGAGGAGGAGGAGGAGCCCGTAGCCCTGACTCAAGGCAATTTCCTTCTCGGGAGGTGTGAGGGCTCGAGTGGCACAGCGCCTTTCCGCCTCTCTCTGCATCCGTTCATCTCAACCTGGGCCACAGCAGGGCCGCGGAAAGAGCACACTGTACCTCCCCTTCGTTTGCCTTGCCATGGGAGGCCACAGATCAGGCGGGAAGAAGTGTGGCAAGGCCCGAGGTGGTCAGGGCGCGGGCAAAGGAAAGGATTCCTAGAACTGCACGCTGCCGCCATTCCAGCCTCAGGCGCAACAGTTTTCATGGATGTGTGCACATGCCACAGCCAGCGGCTACCTCCGTCACGCATGGTGTTGGCAGTGCGACAAGCACTGGGAGACCTGAGCCCAGCGGCGCGGGCACGGGCTCCAAGGCCAAGAAGAACACCTCCGCCGACGAGAATAAAGGCAGGAAAGTGGGCCCACGCATCCTCAAGCTGCAGCAGTCTTTAGACCCGCTCAAATGGATGGAGTCGAACCAAGTTGTACAAGACCCAGCAGCAGCTGGAGCAGCAGGTCGAGTACATAAGCAGGCAGCAGCATACCCTCGAATATTTCGAGGTCAAATGTGCAATACTGATTGCAGATATCGGTGCAGCCAAAATCACCGAGTCGGAGCTTCAGTTGGATGTCTACAGTCTTATTCAGGAGCAGCAGCAGACGCTGTCGGATCCGTACACGTCGCAGCAGCCGCCAGCACTTACCAGCAGGCAAGGGAGCGGCGGTCAATGCCTTGACTCAGTGCGTCCCGATCGACACAGCGAAGGCTCCTCCACGACAGCCTCTCCGACAACCTGGCCGAGCAGCTGCAGGTGCCCTTGCAGGAGCTCGAGACGCACATCCGGGGGATGGAGGCGGCCAGCAGCGGGAGCAGCGAGGCAGCGGGGCAGGCTTCCGAGGGCGCGAGGACGGAGGCCACGGGGCGCGAGGAGTGCCAGGCCGAGGCCGGCACTGCTCGCGCAGCAGAACGCTTCGGACGTTTCCATTCAGCGGGCTCCGCTGGCAGGAGGGTGCCCAGCGGAGGTGGAGGAGGAGAACGTTGCAAAGTGGTGACACGAGTGCGAATCCGCGGAGGCCTCTGCCGATGGTGGAGGGCAGCCGCGGGCTTAGCAGTCAGCAGACGCGGCGCTGCCGCGGTGGCTTACAGTTCCGCGCCATCAGTAATAACAGCTGGTATATTGCAAAGTCACACACTTTGGAGAGCGAGGCCCACATCGAACTTGTTCAAGAAGCGAAGCTACAATATCAATTTATGTTGGATGAACGTGAGAAGGTTCACAAGCTGGGTTGGTAATCTTTTTGGGCCCCATGCGCCGTCACGTCCTAGGGCGGCAAGCGCAGTGGAGTCGCCCTTCTGTTCCGTGCCCATCTGGATGCCTGGCGGGCGCCAGGCCATGAGGAGCCGCTCGCCCCACGCCGTTTAGTCCAGGCATTTTTCTGATCGCGAGTGTTGGGCGTGGTCTCAGTCGACTGCGGCGACTGGAAGGATAGCGAGGGTAGAGGCCCGACCAATCTGGACTTGCTTCAGAAGCTCGGCACTCACGCGCTGAGCCACTGCCTCCCATGCATCGCGGGGGGGCGACCGCAACCTCGAGCCCAACGCATTCCACGAGGGCTTCGGGGCCTACAGGATGAACGGGCAGCCAGTGATTTCATCGCCAGCTGCCACCTGCATGTCAGCTTCGCCAGGCAGGTCTTACGATTATTCCCTAGTGTCCAGGTCGCTGGTGAATTACATCAGCTCGGCCAAGACGAACTTTCACGCGGACCTTTTCCCCCGCGGGCCAGTTACCTTCAGTTTGGAGACCGATTTGGATCGGCTGGCTGTGCGGCGCTTGGGCAAGCATGCGAAGCTCCCAGCAGATTTGCCATTGAGACCAGCTCCTGAACCCCAGAATACCATGGTCTCATCGGCAACCTCACGGGCCTCACGCAGCCGCTGGAGGTTCCTGACGGACACCGGTTTCCTGCCCCCGAAGAACAGCGAGCTCTTCAAGAAGGCCTGGACGCAAATTACAGAAAACGGTGCAATGGATCTCGGGATGAGCTTCGTTCAAGGCACCCTGCAGCGCCACCCTGGTGAAGCCCGCGGTGGAAGCCCCTGCGAGACCCAGGAGATCCCTCTCAGCGAGCTGCCGTGCACCAAGAGGTCCCCTACCATGAGCCCCTATCGAGCACTTCGCTGGCTCTCTCAGAGGTCTCGCGAGTTGCATTCTCTGGCTAGGAGCGTCAAGTGTTTGGAACGCGCAGATTACTTTTCAGGTTAGTCCGATCGACGTGGTCGGCAAGTTCTGGAGGCATTTTTCTGCATCTCTACCCTGGAGGCATGGATATGCGGATGGGGCTTCTCGGGGAGGCTGTCAGATCGCGTCGTGCCCTCTGGCGCATCCGGAGATCGCGACTGGGGCTCTCCTGGCGCCCCGCCGCGTCTCCGACTTCTAGGCCTCAATCTTCTTCCCTCGAGAGCGACGCGAGAAAGTTCGGACATGGCGCGGTCGGCTCGCGGAGGTCCTGGCAGGCGGGGCCAAGTGGGCGCGCGCTCCAAGAGAGGTGGCAGCCGACAAGCAGCAGGCGGCGCCACCGACTGACGACGGCCTTGCCACCTCTCGCCGCACCAGCCAGCTTTCGGATGAGGTCTGCAAGTGGAGGAAGGCGCGGGGGGAGGGGGGGGCAGAAGGAGATCAGGGAGGATTTGGAGTGGCCCCAGGATATGGCTTCCCCTGCGCCGCCGACCCTAGAAGAGATGATGGCTTTTAGTAAAACCTTCAAACAAACGATGATTGCAGCAGA